GGTGGTGTGGAGCCCCGAGGTGGAGGTCTGCCTCTTCCACGCCATGCTGGGCCACAAGCCCGTCGGTGAGAGAAAAAGCAGGCCGCGGAGCAAGCCTCGGGCTCGAGTGGGGGCGCCGGCCGGGGAAAGGGGCGGGGAAGAGGGAGACCCAGGAGGCCGCGCGCGCCGGGTAGGGAGGGAGGCTTCTCTCTCGGGAAGCCCCCTCGAGGCTGTGTTCCGGCGCCTTTTTCCTCCCCCCCCCCACAAAAAAAAGCTCATGGGGGTCTCAGGCAGCTTTTGGGGACTGCAAGGCTCTCGGCTCCAAGCTTATTTTCTGCACGGGAAGGTTTCAGAGGATCGGTTGCTGTCCTTTTCATGGGTGCTCATGTCGTCTCCCGATCCCATTGCACCAAGGATCTTGCGGCAGATCACGGTTGTGCCCAGTTAGGGCGACCCTACGAACGAGGGATCTCCAAAACTGGCTGTCCCCAGCTCTTGCAAACTCCACCCTGTGGCTTCCTTTCGGGAATCAGGCCATCTCCTATTTGGTCTTCCTCTTTTCCTGCTGCCTTTTGAACTTCTTTTGAGTGTGGGTGTCTGTGCAAATGGGAGGGAATGAATTGACCTGGAGGGTTCTGCTCTTTGAATCAAGCAGGAAAAGCAGTGCATCTCTGTGCCTCCTGATCTCGGGTGTACCTGAAGTGCGCTGTAGCCTTACAGATGAATGCACAAAAATTGCTGGCTTCTTGACATCCATTGAAATATGCTTAAATGCTGCCCCAGTGTGCTTAAAGCTTTCCCTGGGCAGTTTACAATTTAATGATGCAGGCTATTCATTGCTCCCTCCACCAAGCTGGGTACTTGGTTTACACACCTTGGAACGATGGAGGTTTTAGTCAGCCTTGAGCCAGTTCCCCGAGTCTAGGATCGAACTCCGGCCATCAGCCGTCTTCACCGCACTATGGCAATTTAACCACTGCACCACGAGACTCAGGAAGCATTATCCTGCTATGTTTGTTTCAACCATGACTTATCGCTCCCATACTGTAAAACCTTCTTCTGTAATACCATAGGACACATTTTCATAATCAGATGCTTCTGCTGTGATTTAGTACTATTGGTGAAACTTGCTCCCCCTTTTTCCCCCCTTCTGTGACTCCTTCAGGTGTTAATCGCCATTTTCATATGATTTGTATCCGGGACAAGTTCAGCCAGAATATTGGGAGGCAGATTTCTTCCAAAGTCATCTGGGACCACTTGAGCACCATGTACGACATGCAGGCACTGGTGAGTGCTGCCAGCCAAGAAGCTGAGCATAATTGCTTATGTTGACGCCGATCTAAAAGTTAGCGATCAAACAAGTTGCGTTCTCATGTGTGATCTGTACTGCAAGCAGTAACAGACGTTTGGCTACGTTTCCCCTAATCATTGCAAGATTGTTCCATGTTAGGTTCTCCTGCTTGAAGAGAGGCAGCTTGTTCTGTTGACACTTTTGCCCAAAGCCTTGTCTACCCTTGCTCTGAAAACTTTGTTAAATCTGCAGAAGTGTGTGTGTGGGGGGGAAGGGAATCTATTCTCTCCTGCCTTTTAGAAATGTATAGATTGTCAGCACTGTACTCAGCACCTTCATTTAAAAAAGCAAAGCATGCTACTTATGTACCACCCCATAGTGCTTAAAGCACTCTCTGGGCGGTTTACAAGTTAATTATACAGGCTGCACATTGTCCCCTCCCCACCATGAGCTAGGTGATCATTTTACAGACCTCAGAAGGATGGAAGGCTGAGTAAACCTTGCGCCGACTACCTAGGATTGAACCCTGGGTCATGAGCAGTTTTTGGCTGCACTGTGCAGTTTAACCACTGCGCCATGAGGCTCTTACAATTAAGATTCCTCTGAGCATCATACGGAATCTTTAATACCATGGCATTTGATGCAACAAGGAAAATATTCATCTATTTTAATTAATATCCAATCTATCTTGCTAGGATTCTTTAAAATCTGTAGCATTCCATTAAAAAGTACGGTGTTATTTTTTTCATGTGTAGTAGATGAAAAAGAATTCTAAATTATCATATAACTCCATTGTTAGAGATAAATCTTTCCCTTGTTGACTTTCAGTTACCTTGCACAAGCACTGATTCAAAAAGTTATCTGATGACTGTAAATATCTTAACTTTTCTGTTTGTTAGTACAGGATGAATTTTGGACCTAATCAAGTTTCTTTTTTTAATCTCTAAGCATGAATCTGAGATTCTCCCCTTCCCCAACTCAGAAAAAAATTTCATTCTCCCTGAAGAAATTATTCAAGAGGTAAAGGAAGGTAAGAGCCAACATCAGTTTATGTAACGACCCTGTGCATTTCTTTAACATGGGACTGATCGTAAGACTCTTTCATGGCTCAGTCTTATAGTGTGGTTTTATAATGTCAGCTCAGGTAAGCATCGTGAAGCTCAATGAAACTTAACTTTCTATTCCAGTTACTCATCAGCCACTGCTTCAGAATCTGGTTGTAACTCTGAAATGGTTTGAAAGAACCATATTGGGGAATAGCAGGCAGGGAATTATTCCTTTAATCTTGTTGAGATAAGTGCTATGGCTATGCTTTGACAATTTTTGTAGAATTTAACAAAAGTGAAGGGACACTGAATTTCTTTCCCATCATTGGTGTGCTTCTAAATATGTCCACAGGAAAAGTGATGATTGAAGATGATGTGAAAGAAGAAATAAAAGAAGAGCTGGAGTCACATGCAGGTTCTGATGAAGGTAATTTTAGCACACAGAAATTATGCCACATATGTAAGATAAGTACCACCTCTGTAATGTCTGGAGGCATACTTTTCAGTGGCATATATGGGGTATAATGCCAGCCACATGCCCTAATGTGCAGGAATGTTGCAAGGGTAAGGACTGACATACCACTGTTTCTCCTGCACTTGCTTTAGTGCTAAATCAGGAAGGAGCAAAATACCATGATAGCATTCCAGCATATTTCTGATGGGTAGGTTGTGCACCTGTAGTTTTTTTCTGGGCAGTGACAACTGTACTGTTCCTAATCTGCTGTTTTGGGTTGTGCAGTCTCCTTATGACCTGTGTTGAATCAGCATGCTGACATCTATAGTGTGTAAATTAGATCTAAGAGACACCAAGGTTATGGAACTGCATCTTGTTAATTAGATAATCCCCAGTTCAAAGCTACGTCGTCTTCTGTACAGGCTCCCTCAAAACAGATGGAGCAGCCACATCTCTCCCCATAAACTGGATTGAATTTCACCTCTCAAAGATTGCAACGAAGCTATAAACTGAAATCGTGTTCCATTTTGGATTAGCTTTTTGTTCACCTAGGCATTTTATGTTACAGGATGCCTGATGAAAAGTTCTGTGTTTTCAGAAAGCACACTTGTCAGGTGGTAGATATAATATTCTAAAAGAAGCCCTTTTAAAAAAACCTGTTATTTTAATATTTGTAACTGTGCTTTTATTACATTTCCTGCCAGAGTATGGAATCATATAAGATTTCTTGTCATCTCTTAGCTGAGCAACATTATGTAAAAGAGATAAAGCAATGATGTGTTTGATAAGTTTGCTCTCTACAAAATACGTTTTCTATTGAAATTTTATACTGCCTTTTCCTATAGGCATTCTCCTATTACATTTAAAACGATTTGCTCCTTTAAACTAGCCCACTAATCTGTTGATACCAATGATGGTCCAGGACTTATTAACCCCAGCCAGTATGGCCAGTGTTCAGGAACAATGGAAATTGCAATCCAAGACTATCAGGAGGTTTGTAGGCTTCCCAATCCTGCTTTACACTGAAATTTTAGTATGTCAGGTTGGAACCTCAGCAAAAATCCTTGGAAAAAAAGGGAGATGCCAAAGGTTGCTCAGCCCTCTACTGTGTGTGTTTGTATAACCATGGCAGCTGCAATACTAGCTGAGGATAAATTTGCTATCTAAATGTATGTATGCAAGTATGCATGTACATCCAGAACACAGCCAAACAGCCCAAAGAGCCTACAACAACCATCAGATTCCGGCTGTGAAAGCCTTTGAGAATACAATTCATGTATTTATTTCTGTCGTGCACTACACCAGAGTGCATTCCAGTAAAATCAGTAATGTACAAACATGCAACATAACATGTAACCACAATCTTAGTACTGTATTGTGTGTGTGTTAGAGAGAACCTGTACATCAACATAATACTCCTCAAAATGAACAGTATTGTATTAAGCAGCTGCTAAAAAACAGCTAAGAAGTTCAAATAAAATACACCAGTCGCTGACCTCTCGCTACACCCAGAATCACAGGGATCAGAATCACAGAACTAGTGCGTCTGATCTCTGCAAAATGGCCTGGTTACACAAAGCTGATTATTAGCCATACAAATGGTTGAAGAAATGGCATTATTCTATGTATTATGCTATCTGATTCACACCACAGCCCCCTTTAAAGTTCAGGATGGACAAATAATTAAGTGCATCTTCATATTTTATTTTATTTTATTTTATTTTATTTTATTTATTTATTTATTTATTTATTTATTTATTTATTTATTACAAATACACAAAAGCTTCAGCCATTGTGGTGAAGGGTTTGAATAGATCTGGCTTCACTTTAGATTGTGTCCACGGTGTGACAGGTATTGCTTAAGTCATACTGTTTCCTATGGTTTTGTTCCAGTCTATGCCTCTCTGGGAAGCCTTGCCAAAGCAGTTGAAAAACCAAGCAGCAAGGAGAAAGAGAGGAATTCCTCTGAATCTGGATCGAAAGAAGGAGGGGATAAGAGAAAGCGAAACAGAGTCACCGAGAAAGTCTTAAATACAAACAGCAATCCGTCTAGCCCGAGTGCTGCAAAACGGCGTCGGACATAAGCAGTGATGGAAGAAGATGGGAGCCCTTTTTTAAACTCTGGAGTCTCAGCAGGTTTATAGTGTCTCTAGCTCAGGAAAGGAAAGTGAGTGACAAATAGGAGTGGGCATGAGTTTTGGCTATCTTCTCTCCGAACTGATGGCTTGCTGATCAATTCAAAGGGACCTGAACAGTGCCTTCCCCCTTCCCAGAATCTGAGCAAGAGGGAGGTTGCAGGCTTTACAAACTTTTAGAATGGCCAAAACGCTAGCTTTGGGTGTCTTGAGCTTCTGTTGCTACTCACTGACGGCAGTGATCCTGCATCTAGTGATATCCAGCCACCAGCAGAATGTAAGCCGCTGACCAAACGGAAGAATGGGAGGCCCTAAAACAGATCTTGGAGGGCGGTGTCTTAGTGGGTTATTGTTCTGAAAGAGTTTGTGATCCCGAATGACAGCAAAGCTTGCTAGGAATGCGTGCCCAGAATACAGATCACCTGCATAAAAGAAGCACAATGCTAAGAGATTGGAGAGATAATTTTTTTTCAGATTGTAGAAGGTAGTATTTACATATACTAGCTTATTAAATGTCTTAAAACCAGACTGAATACTCTCGCATTGTTTTTTTCTTTCATATATCTGCAGGAAGTTTAAAATAAAATGAGAGAAGATCCAGCATAAACTGGTATGGGTAGAAGAAATAGCAGCTCTTACTTTATCTACCTTCTATAACATGAATGCACTAGATGCAAACTTTTCAGTGTGAATAGTTTCATGAAAGGCAGCAAAATCAGTTAAAGTAGAAGGCATTTGCCAGACTGGAACAATAATGTGCAGATGTCTTTCAAACCATCATTAAATTTTTTAAAAAAACATAAAATTTTGCCTGAAGTTTTTAAGTGGCGCTAATGAAGTGGTTTAGGTATCTGGCTGTGGAGCTAGAAGTTGGAAGTTCAATTCCTCCTTCATGAAGAAAAGCCAGCCTGTGTAGCCTTGGACAAACTGTATGGTCCTAGAGCGTGAGCTAGAAGTTGGAAGTTCAATTCCTCCTCCATGAAAAAAAAGCCAGGCTGTGTAGCCTTGGACAAACTGCATGGTCCTAGAGCGTCCCTAGAAGAAAGGAATGGTAAACCACTCCCAGTGTTCAGTACCTGAAAAATGCTGGAAACGGTTACTGTAAGTAAGAATTAACTCGAAAGCACAGGATTATTGATTTTAATGTTATTAGTAATGCTGCCATGTTAGCGCTTTTCAGAATTAGTTTTAACTAAATGGTTGGGATTTCATGCAAAAATGATAGAACCCGAGATAATTTATTATGTCTGGATAAACAAATGGGAAAAATTTCTCTGTCCTTATTTTGGTAGATTTGCAAGACAATTTTTAAAGGAAAGCAAACAAGAAGAATGAGTAGCTGAAGAACTCTGTTCAATTGTACCTTTGTGTTAACTTTTCTCATTTAATAAAAAAGAGCTGTTCTATGTTTATTTTACTGTAGTAGAGTCAATTATAATAAATGGGAATATAATCAATGCACTTTCCTTTTATATACCAAGTTAAGTCCATTCTAGAGACCTCCAAAAATTACAGTTGACACTTCCTGTATACCACCTTAACTAATAAGGCACTGTTGAAGGTATAAACCCTTGCAGGATTGTCTCCCTTACCTATGAGAACTAGGCCAAGATAGAGTTTCGTATCAAACTGTTCTTTAATAAGTCGGAGGCAATCCATCATGTTGTTCTGCTTTTGGAATCCTTGCAGAAAAGGCAAGCATGGAACAAGTAGCCTTTCTGATGATGCATCACAGCTGCCATTAGCCCTTGCCAGCATGGTAAGGTGGTGAAGGATGATGAGAGCCATACTCTTTGCCATCATGTTGTTCTGCTTTTGGAATCCTTACCTTTTGGAATCCTTGCAGAAAAAGCAAGCATGGAACAGGTAGCCTTTCTGATGGTGCATCACAGCTGCCATTAGCCCTTGTCAGCATGGTAAGGTGGTGAAGCCATACTCTTTGTTGTGAATTCACAAGACCACAGATTCTCCATCTCAGTGACATAGAATTTAGACTCGTGTGTGTTTTTTTCTCAATAGGAAAAATTCCCGCCCAGATGATTTTGTAGGCAGTCACTCAATCCAACAGTTCCTTGGTCCTACAACATTTGCATTGCACACTCAAAGCCGCCTGTACACTAGTGTGTTCCTAATCACTTCAAAGGCAGAAAAACTGCACCCTGGAAAAAAGGATGCATGTAGACCTGGCCATTCCACTGAAGCAAATAGGAAATCCCAGATGCTTAGGGGCACTGTACGGGCAGCATACAGTTTATGCTGGATATTGTCCCCCGGTTTATTTAACTTATATGCAGAATACATCATGCGAAAGGCAGGACTGCAGAAATCCCAAACTGGAATTAAGATTGCCGGAAGAAATATCAACAACCTCCGATATGCAGATGATACCACTCTGATGGCAGAA